TGAGGTTACGGGCATTTTAATACAGAGGGGGTTCCACTAATGTGTTGATGACCACACTTAAATATACAGGAAGCTATGAATCACCTTTGGAAGAAATGTAAAAGGTTAAATAGGCTTTGATACAAGTTAAATGCGATCCATCACATTAGCAAATGATACGGAGTCCGCAGCGTTTCTGCTAATTTACCAAAGCAAACAAACACACTGTGTGTGCTGACTTAATACATGAATTAACAAAGGCAGAGACACGATTCTCCTCTTGGATCCAAGGAACACACCACTCTCCCCTTCAACAGCTCCCGTCTCCTCCGTCTGTAGCCCCCCCGTGTCTAATCACACCTCCATTTGCATGGAGAGCCCTGAGAATCAGCCTCAATAACGCCATGCTGCTTTGAAAGATGAGTTTTTAATCTGGGAGAGGAGATGAGTTTCTGACCCTGGCCCTGTTTGTTTCTACAGTTTCTTTTTCCTGTCAAACAAAAGTGACCTGCGAGTAAATTTGCGGCGGCAGGATAGCTGCTCGGCCCCCTAAGTACTGTCATTGTGCATTCATTAATATCCCCATATCTGCCATGGCGGGGGAAATGGTTCTTGGCAAAATGGGTACTTGTCGTGGTGGGTGAGACTCCCTAACAGGCAATCAGAAGGGCTGACAGCGAGTGGGTATATGTGTGTGTGTGTGTGTGTGTGGGGGTATTTATTCTTCTCCCATTGCCCTCTATTGACCCACGTAATGGAGAATTTTACAAGGGGAAGTGTATGAGATATCTTTTGGATGTAGGTAATGTCTTCATCCATGGGAGCCCAGCTTTCATTTGTGTACCATCCGCCTCACAGTGGTGGAGCCCGTGTGTGTGTATAACATAAGACAGCAGGATGCTCTCATTTTATAAAAGAGTAAATAAAACAGACTCACAGGTCAGTTAACAGCGTTTGCTGCTGCCCAAGACCAGAAATACTAACCTTTAAAAAAGTATAACTTTACAGTTGTATTTCCAACTTGCTATTAGACAATATACTGTATGTATGTGTATCATTAAAGTCTTAAGGGACAAAGGCTCAGCATTGTTCAACACTTAAAGGCTTCATCTCAACACTTTCTGCTTGTTTCTGCCCAAATAAACACAAGCATTTACCAGCAAGCACAAGCCCCTTAACAGGGCATTGAGTCCTCAACATAAGAAGAGGAAGGCCGGGCTCTACAGTGAGTGGAGGCTCCAGCTAATGAATGTGTGCTACAGTGTAAACACCCGGATTCTGTGTGCTCGGCAGGTAAACAAAGGTAACACAAAGTTTACAATTAGTCACAGTGCCGTCTGAAGTATTCAGCTCATGCAAATTGCTTCCATATGATTTACGAGTTCCAGGCCTAGATGCGCTACGCCGGCAGCAGTTCGCCTTTTTGGGAAAAGCAATTGACGAGAACAAATACACCTTCAGGCATATTTCCCTACATAAACAGCTCAGCACATCATTTCACAAAGAATAAACAGAGCGCACGCACACACGTGTGCGAAGATTCGAGGTTCAAGTCGATTTTGACACATGTGCACAACTAAAAGGAAACACAAAGACACCTCCTCTGATTACCCACAGCTCCGGCATCAAAAAAAGCATCCTGAACGCGGCAGATCGCTAAACCCCCCCCCTTGTTTACTCCTCCTGTTTATCAGCTGGACGGGCGAGCGGCCGCTTCGGCAACCTTCATCTCGCCATTACCGCTCCGCTTTATACCGTTGCCAAAATCACAGGTGACAGGCCACTTTTCCCGGGCGCTCGGCAGCAAACCCTCCTGGCAGGGCCGAGAGCGCTTTGACGGCGATGGCCCCCGACACACGCAGGTTTCATGTATTCAGCCCGGGGGGGAGGGAGGGGGAGCTACCGTCGTCGCTATTAACCGCCAAGGTGACCTCCACCCCGAGGCCAACACACAAAACACACATTCACGCGCTGCAACGAGCATGATTGTCTGGGGGGGGGGGGGTCGATAGTCAAAGTCATGATTGAGTGAGTGTACGTTCTATGGAAATCAATGGAAAGCGAGTAAGACGCAGGAGAAACGAACAATATTCTCCCCACCCCCCCCCCACCCCCGTGCGGCCCTGCAGGATTGCGTCTCACCTTTATTTTTACCCAGCAGGCGGCATTAAGGCGCGACAATGGGAGTGCCTGAGCGTGTCAGCCGAACACCTGCCGAGCGCTCCACCAGGATAACTCGGGAGCCTAATTATCGAGGAATTTGAAGCGGCATTCTGTTGCCTCCGCCACTGTTTTAATTAGGAGCCTTGTGCTTTCAGAGGTCAAACCAAATGAGCTTTTAACTACTGTCATTCCGTTTTCTTACTGAAGGCAGCTGTCCTGAAGCCACGGCGGCGTCACGGGCCGCTCGCCAAAGACGACAACGCAGCGGGGAGAAAGTGTAGCATGCAAATGGAAGCTACGGGGTATTTTAAAAGGGAAAGATGTGTTTACCCACTTCAAATCCCTCAGTTTGTGGCCCCTTAAAGATTACTGTAATTGTAATCCTGAGGCAGGAAGGAGACAAGAACGCAAGGAACGAACGAGCGAAAATGATGGATGAACAAAAGGAAGGAGGAGACCAAAAGAAGCTGGCTGTTCCATTACTTGTCTTTACTCAGCGGTCAGTTAATTATCACAGATATTGAGTAATGATATTGAGAAAGCTTATATGGTCCACCTTGGACCACCTGCACTAGAAAACCATTCATAAAATCATTCTAAACCCCAAACTTGAACCTAGAAGACACCCTCCAAATGTATTGATCGTGAGAGACGCTCGGAGAAAACAAGACATTGTCATGGAAAAGGGAAGATTCAGAGGGTACGTTGCTTATCGCAAACTTTTTAAATCTGCCTCCCCCTCTTCGCTCAATTTCCCGGGACAGCCGAGGTAATTCAAATCGATTCCAAGTCCTTCAATTACAGACAAACTGACAACAGTTTGGAGGGAGGGAAATGGATTTTTCTGCTCATCTGCGAGCCAAGGCCGAATGTGAGGAACCTCAACGGGCAGCCGACAGCCCGACTCCTCCTTCACTCACTCACTTACTGTGTTGCTTCTCCCCCCATAAAACCTGCCAGCGCCGATCTGTTATGATTTCCGACCGGCGGTGAGACAACGACAGCTGCAGGGAGGTGAGGCCAGACACCTTCTCTCAGACTATATTTCAGTCAAACGTACCTTTCCGCGTTTGGATCATCGCACCGTATTCATGCAAAGAACTGACGAGTAAACACATCATCACACCGCGCACGGGGACAGGAAACATCAATATGATAACATGAACACACACACATACACACACACACACCTTATCTCCTGGCGGTCAGGTCGACAGATGCACGGGCAGAAAATTGTAAATATCGAGCAACCCCTCGTCCCTGAAAGATGAAGTACAATAGCCGAAGGCAATTCGTACCGCAATTGCTTCATTATGAGCTAATATGTTCGCAGTTGTTGCTTCCGGATGACTCAATAAATATCCAATACTTTCCTGAGAGACAGCCTTGACCCTGTAGTGTGAAAGAATGCGCTTCACGGGGGCCGCCTCTCACAACGCGCTCGACGGCAGCTTCATAAAGTGGCAATTACCGCTTTGACATCCATAGAACCACAGAGAAAAAAAACAAAAAAAACGGCCACGTTCTGTGAAAGCAAAATAGACAATTACAGAGACAAGTGAGCCACTAAAAGATGGGAAGTGGGGGTTAAAACTCCTCGGGCATATTAATGCAGCTTAATTAAAGGAAAGACCGCCCAAAGGGTGGTTTAAAACAACACCCTCCACTCTCACCTCCAGAGGCATTAGCTCAGTTAAAGACAGCGGGCTACATGATAGATATCCTCAGGTTGACCTCCAAAGCTTCTCCCCCCCCCATCCCCCCCTCATCTATATTTATATGAAGGAGCGGCACTAATTTTGCCGAGTAAATCAGTGTGCACATTTCGTTGTGACCTCCAGCTTGACACCGAATTAAACAATATCAGGGCCCGAGGAGGCCGCTTTAACAAGCCTTAAATTCCTCCGTCCAATCCATCAGCAGGGATATTTCTGACACACAGAGGGAAGAGCATGAAATAAGGCAATTATTGAACCCTTCAGCCCATTTCTACGGCTCGGCTTGCTGGCTCGGCGCAGCACAGAGACACAGACCTTTCAATTTGTTCCCCGAGATGACTCTCGGTGATAAGGACTCTAAAAATGAGTAAATACAAAATGAAGTAAGTCAGCTATTATTTGTATCAGTGCCTATCTCCACTTTGTGGCCAGGTCGGCAGTTAATACACAGCGTGTCACTGTATGCAAAACAAGAAAGTTGGATATAACCAAAGGGGTCCTCTTGACTTTACGCAGTAAAAAGAAAACTAGTGTTTAAAAAGACAACGTCTTTGTTTTTTCTCTCCCAGCGTTCTAGTCAGAGAAAACTTCCTGGTGGAAAACAAAATGCAGTGAGTGTGTCTCTCACGGAGGAGGCAGTGGATCCGGTGTGTCTGGGCGTCCTCTCAGATTGCCTGACAGATAATCCATCACACAGTCAGTGTGTCTGACAGGAATAAGTCTCAGTCAACTGTCTGTCTCTGTCCAGGACACACAGGACCCGTGAAGGACAGTTTCTCCTCTCAAATCCCTCCTGGGACATCCTACAGTTGGGTTTCATTAGGACTGGAGGTGTGTGCTTTAAGGCATTTAAGTGTGTGTGTGTGTGAGAGAGAGACACACAATATGGTGTAGAATATGTATATAAATATGCTTGATCTTCTCAAACACATCAAATCAACAAAAACAGTAATTATTTTGTATTCTGTCCTCATCTTTGATTAAAACATTTTAAGCCAACAAAAACTATTTATACGTTGTCACAACAAACAAGGCGGTCCAACAGCCAAACTTAGAGTAAAGGTTTAATAGGACGTCTTACTTTCCATCTTCACGGCAGGATACTCTGATGCGAGGTGGGCAAATGAACCAGAACACGGCCTTGAAATATTTGTTTTTAATCTCAGAAATTATACACACAGTTTTGACACGGTCTTCGATGTATCCTGTCAATATACATTCATGATCATACAAAGACAATTCTGTTCTTGATTTTGTTTTCTCCACACCTCCGTATGAACGTACCGCCATTGTAGAAAGCGTTGCCACGGTAGTTAAAAAATCCCTCTACCTTCATCAAACAGGCACAGATTTAAACAGTTTGCCCGGGAGCACTTCACAATTAAGACGCGCTGTATACATTTCACAGCGGGTGACTTCATTAACCTCACTTGATACACAGATAAGGCATTCGATGATTGATAGATTTGTTTGCAGACAGGCTGCTCCAAAGTTAAGATTAGCTCTCTGTCCTGCTGCCTTTTTACATCGGTTTCATCTGGAAACAGGCTGGCTCAGTCACACAGCGCCTCCAAAAACATGGAGCTAAAACTACTTCTAAACCGGCATTCCTCACAAATGCCGCACAACGCGGAAAGAGAGTCCGTCGCCGTGGGAATGCACAAAGTGTTGGATCTAGGTTCCAGTTTGTGAATGGTCTCGCCAAAGATAAGCATGATGAAAACCAGGACAAGACCATGTGGGCAAACCAATTAAGAAAATTTAAAAAAAAAGGTAAAAATCTGCTAATCTACACTGCATAGTTGCTGCGAGAGTAACATCCGAATTCTGTACTCGGTAAGCATCGAGATGATGCGGCATCTGAAAACCTGTGGTAAAAACACAGAGCAATGTCTAAGAAAAGATTGTTGGTGATGAGGACTTTTCTATTTCCTGATGGCGGCCACTGCTTTCTTGGCGGCGTCATCCAGGTTCTCTGCTGGCGTGATTGGCAGGCCGCTCTCAGTCAGAATCCTCTTGGCCTCGTGGACGTTGGTCCCTGGAAGACGCAGGAAGACTCTGTTACAGCCGGCGACAACAATACTGACAGAGATAAAGGAACACGCCGTAACAAGTTGGGACCCAACGCGCCATCTGAAAACCACGGCGTGTGAAAGACAAAGTTCCTTTGGAGGAATCACTGCGCGCGATGACAGATGGAGGAAGTTATGGGTGAACGGTAGTAGCTTCGTCTGAACACCGACAGTGTGTGTGTGTGTGTGTAAAGTGAGCTCCGCCTGCTGCAGCAGGTGCTGGGGTGGCGTCCATGCTCTGGTGGACCCCCAACCAACCAGACACAGAGGTGGAGACCCTCTCCTCAGCCTTCAGGCTCAGCGCGCTGCACTGCGCAGCCAAACAGGAGCCTGACGAGCCTGTCACAACACAGAGCGGGGGGGGGGGGGGCGTCGGTGGACGGAGACGGGGAGCGAGGGGACAACGGCGAGATGGAGAGAGCGAGACCATCACAGTAAAAGGTCAAATGAGGCAGAATCGCCTGCGCTGCTAAAAACAATACAGGCGGGCTGTTTATGTGACATTTACTGAGTTCACACATGACTGTCTGATCTGGGATCAGCGTTCTCTACTCAGTCTGCTGCTCGGAATTATTTTTTATCTTTTATAGCATCCCATTTACTTATTTTTTATTGGTATTTTTGTATTTCACTTCTTATGTAAAAAACCTTTTCATATGTAATTTATTCAGTCTTTATGTATCCGCAACACCTGGATACCTCCGAGTGATCCACGAAGACGAACAGTCGTTTACTCATCACATGCTGCTCCGGTGAAGAAGTCTGAGAAGAAGTCTGTCATGTGATTACTTTCTGCTTATTATTATTATTATTATATATTTTTTAAAGCGCAAATGGCAAAACGTCACCAGTTCCAGCTTTCTAACGTATGTGTGTGTAGTAAACTGAATCTTTTTATGTGAAATACATTTCATGCATGGGTGTCTCTCTGCGTTCCTACTGGACGATTGTCCAGCAGTGTGTGTGTGTGTGTGTGTGTGTGTGTGTGCGTGTGTGCGTGTGTGTGCGTGTGCGTGCGTGCTCAAACGCTTACAGGTTGACCTCAGCTCTCCTGGCTGACGTGCAATTAAGACGCCATGATATGTGAACTCTCTGGAGGCGCGGCCACGCTGATCAATACCTTTCATGAGGAATTCTATTAGCAGCGCCACTTAACGCCTAACATTTCATCTCTTTTGTCCAGCGAGATAATACGTCATTTCAAACACCTTTTTCTTTGCGGCTTCACACCGTAAACAATCAATTCTGAGAATACAAGCAGGAAGAGACCTTGCTCTGGCACATGAAAACAAAGTTATTTTCTCATCAAAAACTGAAGCCTGGAATATTTTTCCTGCGTGCGTCCACAGACAAATCTGTAGTCTCAATGCTTCAAGACGTTCAATAGGACGAGCTGTGACCCTTCATTGGAATTGACAGATCTGAAATATGAGGATTCAAACAAAGTAGCAGCACAACAGAAAAAACGTGAGATAAACATCTGGCAGAAGCAACCAGATGTGCCCACAACATACAATACATAATGGCAGGGATACACTGAAAATACTAATATTCCTACGGAAAGTGTATACGGGACAGAAATAAAGTAAACACATGCACTCCTGCAACTTGCATGACATACATGTTCATGAAATATTCTACCAACAGTGAGCGCGTCATTGCTCTCTGTGTTGTCCCTGTAATGTGTGAGTGGCTAATCACACATCTGTGGGAGTGAGAAAGGAGAGAGAGAGAGAGAGAGAGAGAGAGAGAGAGAGAGACTGCAGTTCCACTGTGCGCAGTAGGGAGCAATGATGGCTCACAGCAGCAGAGGGAAAAGGACGGAAACAGACCCATTAAGTGTGTGTGTGTGTGTGTGTGTGTGCGCGCGCTTAGTATGTGAATGTGTGTGTTCACCTGCAGCCACTAGGTGCTGCAAGAGACCTACTCACAGCCTGGACCCAGACACAGAGCAATAGAAGGAAATCCCACCAAGACAGACTTTCATTTTAAAGTGAAATACCATTTAGATTAATTGAAAAGCCGAGGAAAGAAAAAAAGAACAAAGATTCTTGCTGTTCCGACAAAACTATTTACACAATTCCCAGGGTTTTAGTTGTTATCCATGCTGCCAATGACTGGTAATTACTAGATATTTCTTCTTCTGTTATTTTAAATTAACGCAAATTATAATTGCAGAAAGACGTTAATACAGTACACACACACACACACACACACACACACACACACACACACACACACACACACACACACACACACACACACACACACACACACACACACACATATAAATGCATTGGAGAATTGGCAAAAACTTAAAACGATGTTTGGCGGTGGGTGACAAGTGTCTCATGGAGACAATGACTGTAATAAAAACTCAAGCTAAACAACACATTGTTTAAAGCGGTTGAACAAACCGTTCAGGCCAAAACAGCAAACAAAGAGTTGCTTTAAAAACGGGCAAGATGCCACAGTGGGCGGATTTCTATCACGTCTCTGCTCAGGCGGGACAAAGTCTCTATAGGAGGCGGGCAGAGCAGCGGCCAACCAGCGCAGCGCTCTCGTGCAACACCACGAGCGACCTGTACGCGGTCAACGCGGCAGCCGTTAGTCCACCAGGTCTGTACACGGGTTATAGTTGTTTGCTGCTATATTCATTCTCTGAATAGAAACACATCCTGTCCCATTTCTGTTGGATATCCAAACAAATGTGCAGGCACTCTTTTGCCCATTGTGGGAAATGTCACTTTCATGCGTGAGTCAATTAAAGGCGGCTATATTTCAACAGGATAATAAGGCTTCTGCTAGAGCTGTTGATGCTGTAGTTCATGAATTTGTGACTAATTCTGTCATACAGAGTTAAATGAAGATCAGATCTTCTGATGATTCTTAAACCTGCACAGTTACTCTCTGCTTAACTTTGCTCCTTGTATCACAGGGAAAACCATGAGTGTGTTCGTGTTTAAGGTAATGATGAGAAAAGCCCTTTCCGGCTGCAGGTTTGGTATTGGCAGACTTTACCTAAATCATGGGACAGTTTGCTGACTAGTGTAAATGTTCTTTTTCAAGACATTTGGACTAACCATAGCTGGAAAAGCTTTACTAATTTTACTAACTTTACTAATTATTACAAACTAATAATTTGTAAGCCATGACAGGTGACAAGGAATCATTAATCTGATTATTTACATTTATTTCGTACCGTGATGAGTTTTGATCAAAATGACGTTCAGAAAGCTTCCATAGTGTGCAACAGGTTTTTTTCTTCCCCGTTCCTTTGTGACAACATGAAAAGGTGTTAAAGGTATCAATAGCAGACCTTTTAATTGGCTTATTTTTTTGGTCGACAAACACTTACATTTGGGCCGCGCCTCTCGGTGAATAAATGAACCGGCTACACCAGATGAAAAAAAACACAACCTATGAATACAACACCCAAGCAGCTCACACCCCATCTGCTATTCAACACGCTACCGAGTACACGGTACACATGGCTTCTCACGGGGACCTCAACATATCCAGATTACCAAGGAGCTCCTCCCACCTTCTTCTTCCGTGTCAAACATCAAATGCGTCTCATTAAACGCTGAGAGAATCCTGACACTTTTCCTTTGATGTGCTTGGCAGCCATTAATCAAAGTGTTCATGTTTCTGATGAGACAAAAACCCAATATTAGATTTAAAGGGCGTCTCTGGCAATGAGAGGTCATGTTATGCATTAATGCATCGAGTCATTCAGGTTTTCATTCATGTTCAATCTCGCTGTTGAAACCAACACCAGCACTGTATTAGCGGTTTGGGTATCTGAAGCAACTGGACAGCATTGATTTCCATTACCGTTCCACTTCCTGTCTGGTGCATTCATTGTTTATTACGTACAACTAAACTTTTAATGAGTGCATAGTTTTTTTTATTGCATTAAAAAGATGATTTGGTCAAAACAAGCCAGTGTATTTTATATTCAGTGCACGCTGTGTATGCAAATGTACACGCATGGTTCTTCGTGTGCATCAGCTGCAGCAGATGGCTATTTTAGCTAAGATGACACCGTCTGGACTGAAAGGGCCTTTTCAACCATACTATTGGACCCTGCATCTCTTTTTGAATGAAGTGGGAGGAATATGGCCAGATCACCTTTTAAGGAAGAAAACAGCCCCTATTCTCTGAGAGACAGTTGGAATAAATCAATAGAGCAGGGAACACACTTATGCGAATGCACTCACCTTTTTTTCTTCCTGGACCCTGAGGGCCATTCAAGGGGATTTTTTTTATCCCATCGTGGCATTCAGCCTCCTTACAGAGCAATATTTCCATGTGTGCACTGTGACCAAAGGGGGCAGTACAGTTCTTTGTGATGGATTGCTTCCATTCAATATTTTAAACGTGTGTGTGGGTGTGTCTGTACATTCTGGGCTGATTTTTTTGCGAACATTCGCAATGCACGAACATAAGCGCTTATACTTTAGCCACAAAATTGGGTTTGTTCTAGTTTGACTCCATGTCAGTCTGCAGCGCAAGTAACAATCAACTAGATACAAATTCAGCCCTATCAGACAACATGGCATCTCCTCTACGTGTGGGAATACGTAACTCTCCACCAATGTAATCAACCCAGGCCTTTTAAAAAGAGCCTCCCCAATTAAAAGTGTGCCAGTTAATCCATTCTGATCCCGTTGAAGAGCGCTGGGCCGCTCTCACTGCCCGGCGGTCAGCCTAGCAAGCTGAGCTGATTGATTCTGAACCAATCTTCTCCACAAGACCGCGGCCCAGGATGTAATGACCCACAGCTAAAGCTTGGATTAGGCCCGGGCCAGGAAAACGTGGTCGGCCCCGCCGCCAGCGTCGACCTTCTGTACTGAGGCTTTTTTTTGTGTGTCAGGTTGCATTACACGGTGTAGTGTGAGAAATATGTGGCCACTAATTAAGGGGTTTGTTTTGATGCCGTGCCGGCCCAGTCGCGTCGGTGGCCGTGCATTTCGGGAGTCCGGACACATGGTCAATCAGCAACGTTTGCTGAAATGGGGAAAAACTAAATTGGACACGCAAATTGTACCAGACGATACCCCGCAGGTTGTCCCTGAATCACAGAGCTACGCAAGTTTAGCTTTGGCTCAAGCGGGGAGAATAGTGACATGTCACACACTCTTAAGGGAGGGGGGTATTCCTGCTTTGCCTAATGTGTGTCTCACATATTCCCCTCACCCTCTGAACAGCCGTGTCTATACCGTACTGTATAGTGCCTTCGTGCACAGCTTACGCGCCCTGACCTACAAACCATATTAGCAGTGTGTGAGGACATAGAGTATGAATTCCTCTCTCTCTCACACACACACACACACACCATGGGATCTTGACAATTAAGCTAACCACCAACTGGCCCCCCGCGCCTCCGGGAGTCACCGCTGCCATCACACACACACACACACACACACATATACACACACACACACACACACACACACACACACACACACACAGAGACAACTGAGCGGGTTTCATTAGCATATACAGGTGAAAGGTGAACCAATCAGTGCATCTCGACTGTTATTCTGGCTGCTGCTAATGACGGTTGCGGCACAATGTGACACGTATGAGAAATGCACTGCTGTTCTTACTGGGCCACTGGGCCACAATGAAGACGGATCGGCTCCAGAGAGCCCAGCAGAAATAACACAATGGCTCGAAAAGTTTCAAACAAGAAGTGAAAGATGCGCTTCAGCTCCTGCAGCACTTGTGCGGATTACCATTTTCTATGTAAAGTGATGATATTTATTATTATCAAATCCTCATTACGAAATAAATCTCATGTGTGTGTGTGTGTGTGTGTCTGTGAGGGGGGGCACGTTTTATACCTTCAAGCCTGACAACCAGCGGCACCTTTAGCTCCAGCTCTCGACACGCCTTGGTGATGCCGTTGGCGATGATGGCACAGTTGACGATTCCACCAAAGATGTTGACCAGGATGGCCTCGACCTGTGAAAGAAGGGAACAGAAAAAAAGAGTAAGTCAAGAGGCAGCCCCCCCGTAAAAAAAATTAAAATGGCCCTGTGCAAAGAAACCTTCATTGCAATGGCTGAACAAAGTGTGTCCAAACAGAAACACAACTATTGACCAATCCTCTGTAAAGTGAAGACGGTAGAAGCAGGTAAAATAGGCGACATTTGGGCCAAATAATTAAGCAGTATTTCATTGGGAGAAATACACGGGGAACAAAGGAAGCTCCAGAGCCGACACGAGGCAACGCCATGTGTCATAATAGACGTTTGAAAGTGTGCAGCATACCACGCTTCTTTCCTCCAATCAATTCACAGAGTTTTATTGCAATAAACAGGGTTCATATTTGCTGATGAGATCTCCCAGCTTGAAGGAGATGCTGAAGGGTGTTCGGATGAAGGTGCGTCGACCTATTGTCACCCTTGGCAGAGGTCCTTAAACACTGTTCTGTCTGGATTCACAAGCTCGTGTCTACAGAGCCTTTCTTTGGGGAATGAAAAGTCGCCGATAACATTGACTAAGAGGCCAAAGGTGGATTCCAACACGAAACCCGAAATCAACACGGCGGTCTAGAGTTTTGCCAAACCATCCCACTGTCTGTTCCTTTCTGCTGTCTTGCAGTTTCTTTGCAAAATGAGCTTGAAGCTGATATCAGTAAGTAGTGATGCAAGGCGGCTAGTGTGTGTGTGTGTGTGTGTGTGTGTGTGTGTGTGTGTGTGTGTGTGTGCGCAATTACACTAACAATCTAGCACTTGGTAATTACCCTGGCTAGCTCAGTGAAAAAGTAGACTGAGAGCAAACAGGATTAATCCTCCGTGTTTGTTTATAATCACTGCTAATCTGTTAGCGGCGATTTGGATGAGCAGCTTGTGGGTGTTTGTGTGTGCGGCTGGTGAACGTGTATTTTTTTTCAGTATGTGGTAATGATGTTTAAAGGGATCAAGGACTTGGATAGCTATCAGAGCGACATTGTCCTCTACGTGCCATCCTAATGACCATCTCCTTATAAACAGCCCAGAACGACACAAGGCCAGGAAGGAGCTTGACAACAAAAACAGCAGCACAAAGGCTCGGACATCATACAAAGATAATAGAGCACGCCGTTATGTGAGCACGGAGAAGTGTTTCACGCTGATGGAAGTGTATCGCACAGGGATGTGGCCGAGGGGGATAAAGGCAGGGAAACATTAGTACCTGTACATTGTACACAAACTGTACACATCATAAATGAAAAACAAGCAAAATGATCACTAACTAATACAGGTAAAATGATCTCTTGCAAAACGGGGTATTTTGTGCATTGTGTAACTGTAAATATGTAATTGGCCCCTCCAGCAATTTAGTGTTGCCTGAAACAAATAATGCAACACGTTCATGAAGCAATGGTCAAATATTGTGACTTTTAGTAATTCGTATGAGACTGGACAAGGTGATCACAGCCAGATGTACCAACACACACACACACACACACACACACACACACACACACTGCACAGCTCTGCCACAGAACTACATTCACACACTTGTGAAAGAAAACTACATTAGTACCCAATACTCAGCAGTCATTTACATGTGTCAGGAGGCGCGGAGTGAGGGGACTGCGTGCGAGTTGAGCAGTCAGAGAAGACACGAAGGAAAGAGGTGTGAAATGTTCACGGCTTGTTGACCCTCAGACCTCGGCCGTGTACTAAACCGTTCTTCTGACAGCCTGTTACCTGCAGTTCACACATGTATGCATGTGTGTTGCCCCACTGCCCTGCGCAGGTGTGGCAGTTCAACTTTGCCACTATCACTACGAACAGACGGCCAAGTTAAAGAGACACGAAGGAGAAATTCATACTTCAATATAACCGACCAAATCTGTAAGCTTGAGTCTGAGCATTTACTCTTTCTGATGCGTTTTAAATCCGGTAAACATACCGTACTGACATGAAATGAATGGAGGTTAACAGTGATTGTGGCTGTGTTACTCACACATGCCCAGTGAATCAATGATGGAGTCACAGCTATATGGGACACTTACCTCATGATATCAGTGTACTTTGGCACATAATGACGACTACTTGCCACAGGGTTCGAGTCGGGGTCTCACACAGACACACAGAGCATTATCTGGCCCCCACTGGGGGGCAGCAGAGATTTAGATGCCTTTTTGCAGCCCCACCGGAGAAGGCTCGGTTTGCGGCCCATTTTTCAACTCTGTCTCTATTGGGAAGAACCATTTTTCTTCCATTCATGCGTCTCCTATTGACACCCATGTATATTAATGGTACGTAGGACATGGTTTATGCCGCTTGGTAAAGAAATAAATGCGGTTTATAGAAATATGGATGTGGTGAGGAGGACTTAGTTGCACTTTGCTCTACGTTTCCTCTTCTTTAGGTTTGCAAGCAAGTCTACAGCCTACAGAACATTACTTGTTGGCACAAACCGGCAACAAGTATACATTGAATGTTTAAGTAGAGCCACGTTTGCCCACTGCGAGTAAATTACAGATGCAGAGTAACAACACCACACACAACTGTAATTTGAAGAGAGATAATGTGGTAACTACTGTGTGCCCAGAGGGAAAACAGCCTATAATTGAAAATATGCAAAAACGCTGAAGCTAAGAGCCGAAAAGGCACGAATGTGTGCATCTTTTTCATCTCTGTAATCATGTTCTCTGCGAGGACGGTTAATTCAGTACTTAATAGCAGTATTTACCTTTGATGAAGCAAATTGGTCCTTTTGCAGTGGACTGCACAATCCTCATTAGTTATAAAAAAAAAAAAATGTCATTTTAGCGAGGTACTCGTCCGTAAGAGGTTAAAATACCACAAGAATAGACTCACCAAAAGAACAGAGGTCTAATTTAGGGTCAACCTCTTTGGCTAGATGCCCTCTCTCCAATCAAGAGGCTAACAACAGCTCTGCTCCACTCAGCTCACAGTGGCTCACAAAACCAGCCTTAAGGTATGAAATAACATTGCACACGGCAATCTGTCAGATCTGAAATCTCCTACACCACTCTGTAGCATTTTCCCTCAGTTATTCCTTTCTCCTTAAAGGCATTCCTTTCAGGTGAGCTAACTTAGCAGCGGGATGAATTTCTTTCATCAGAGCTCAGCATAAGGCACCAGGTACAATGTGCCAGCTCGCTCTTTTTAGCGAGATCTTTGTGCATTCTTTCAGGCGCTGTTACGGCGTGAGCCGGTGCCTTCTACCTGGGCCTGCGCTGAAATGATTCTAATTTCACAAAATAGGATCATTGCTGTCGGCATTCCAAATCCCCGCCAAGGCTCTTTTTTTGCCTCGAAGTAAAAAAAAAGGCCTTCACGGGGGAAACAGGCTTTTCTGCCTGCTATTGTGCGCCTCACTAAGTGCAAGAAATGTAACCCTGACAATTGGTCACGCTCACATGGGCCTGTATGGTACTCCTCCCGCCTTTGTTTTTATGTTTCCTGGATGCATGTTTGACTAAATGTGCATGTACTTACAAAACGCACATCAATGGGGGAAACGTTACGGACTGAAACATGAGCGCAACATCGTATAGGCACGACACATGCTCAGTAAGTCTTCATATTCCTTCCACAGACTGATTAACAGCAAACAAACATGTTGTACTTCTCTCCTCCAAGTTTCAACCCAGAGGGGAATAGAAGCATTGTGTTTCCTCGCATTCTGCACAGCTCGTTGTCACAAGCTGCACGTGCGTTGCTGAATTATCACTCAAACACACATTTTCATGCCCATACCCCTCTTAAGCGCCGCTAATCTCTCTGCAGGAAAGAAAGGAAAGGGAAAGCATCTTGTTTCCTTTGTTACCAGCGAAGCAGATAGGAGTAAGAAAAGGCAGGGCTGAAGATGGGGGTTTGTCTCTCTGTGGCCTATTAAGGGCAATTGTTCTGTCTTATCTACTGGAGACAGCCTGCACCGGCACCGCCTGTTCTGGCAGGGCTTGTTTATTTGTTTTTTCGATCGGCAGAGAGCCCCGTGCTCGGCCTGGGGCCACAGGTTAACATGCACGGCTTCCAAATCAAGGCAGGCTTGCGGACTCTAATCACACTTCTTGCAATGACTGTACGGCTGTTCAGGGAAAAACAATTATTTAGTTTCTGTCCTAGTTTGACGCGAGAAGGGAGTAAATTGTCTTACATGGTCAAAGTGTTGTCTAGGATTTTTTTGCATATATCTTTTGTCTGGACTTGATGCCAGAGGTTTCGCCTGTCTCGCTGCATCCGAACCATAAAGCACTGAGCTTAGCCACCGACCATTTACATTGGATGGGAGGGGGGGGGCAGCAAAAAGGGACGCGAGAACTCGGGCCTGTGACAATTGGATGGAAGTACAACAACACAACATTATCCCGCGTACAAAGCAAATGTCGTGATGGCACCAAATGATCACTGAAGAGTGTTGTTGATACCGGTTTCAATAAAGATAAGCAATACTCGGCCTGGTTACAAGAGACAGAGGTAGGCGCTGTCACAACAGAGCACTCGCACTTAAAACAGTTTCTTGGAATTCCTTAAATTTCTCCCGCTGTGTTATTGTGCTTCGTGTCACAACACAAAGAGAAGGCTCTGTGGATGAGCACGCTTCCATAAGTTCTGTCATATATTCAAGGCGCCATATATATATATATATATATATATATATATATGACACCCATGCAAAAATGCAAAGAAAAAGTGCTCATGTAGCGATCTACCAGCTACTTTGAGCTTCAATTCTGTCAAACCGAGGAACTATTTTGCCCGTGCATATCTATTCTCAGAGAGGATACGGAACAAGACAGAGGATGACACAAAGAGTCTGAGCGAAGAGAAGGTCTTGAAGTCAGAGAGTGAGGCGAAGTGAAACAGATGGAAGAAGAGAGATGGAGAAGAAAAGAGACGCAAAGAGGTGATGGGAAGTGGTGCGGCCCCTAACTTCTATTGAAGGCTAAGATTGGCGCTGGCAAGGAAGGATAAGAGGGAAATAATTATCCGGCC